GAACCAGGAAGGGACGAAGCTCTTCGTCCACGAACCGCAGAAAGCTTGGCAGCTCCTTTTGTAGGCTTTAGGCTTTGAGGCGTGAGGTTTAGAGTTTAGGATGTGGGGTTTAGGGTTTGGAGTTTGGGGTGTAGATGTTGGCTTTTGCTGCTCTTTAGAATCGGGGCTTGAGCAGCTGGAGATGAGCAGGGGAAGTACTCATATGGGGCCCATGATACACAGATCAGATTCAGAAGAACGAGGACAGGCCAATACTCAACACCTAACGAGCCCAAAACTCTAGAGCATCCCCTAACGCCTAAAGCCGAAGAAGCTGATTGCCTGGGAAGCAACTTACCAACCAAGGGGGCCTAAACCCCTGAATCACGGCAACTTCTGCCGCATGTGGAGGCCTGGGGCTTGGAATGGTAAAGATCTAGGGGTTAGGATGAGTTGGGGCTGTCAAGGTTCAGGTCAGGGTTTAAGCTGTTCGTCTTGGCTTCAGGCACTCGACTCATGCACTGAAGATCTTGCACCTCCTATGCTTATTAAGACACACGCAAATCCCAACCCGACGTGTTGACCTCGACGGCTCGACACTCGACATCACAAGAAGGGCACCCCTACTCGCCCAAACCCAAACAGCTAAACTCCAACCCTCCCCCAATGCAAGAGGGGATGCCTCCGAAGGGAAGTAGAACAGGAATGTAGACCTCAACAGCCGCCTCCTCAGGGCCAAGGCTGATGGCTCTGACTTTTAAGGGCTCAAGGCTTGTAAGCTCAGGGCACAAAAGGGGGCAAGAAGGCCTAAAGCTTCAGAGCCTGGGGCTGAGGGCTGAGGCTTAGGGACTTAGGGTTCAGTTTAAGGCTGCGCGTTTCGGGTTTCAGGCGGGCGTGGCTTTAGGACTTTAAAGTCAGGCCTCGTGCAGCTGAAGTTTTGGGGGATCATGCCGCGGGGTTGACGTTTGGGCTCTAGCGCCTCGGCTTTCTGGCAAGGGGTTCGGATTGCTGGTGACATCGTACACTGGGCCGTCAGTCGATGTTCCGGCTGCTCCAGCGAAGACCTCGAACGAAGCCTTTAACGCGAGGTTTCTGCCCACGAAGAAACACTGAAACCTAGCAAGATTGCAGACATCACATGAAAGTCACGATCAGCCCCAAGCTAGATACCGACCCACGCTACAATGCCAACCAACCACGTGCTTGACATCTGGCGACATAACCCTGAAAACCCGCGAGGCCCATTGTCTAACTTGCCAAAAACCGACCCCTAACCCGAAGCCACAAGCCACAAGCCCCGGAGCCCTAAACCCTGAACCCTCTGAGGCTAGCGGCGCATCTTCCTGATCTGCGCTGTCGGCGCCTGAAGAACTCCGAGAAACAGATCTTGCGGTCTAGGACCCAGCTAGGACATGAGAGGGGCAGAGAGGGGCAGTACCTTCCTGCATGTAGAGAACGCCGAGGCCTGAAAACTATGTGATTTATTGAAGACTCTCGGGTCCTCACTATTTGCAATGAGGCGTTGTGTTTGAGCGAGGGGGTTTTACAGTTTTACAACAGTCGCTACACTACAGTGTGAAACCTAAACCCTAAAATATATGGAAAAACAGTGCTGCGCGGGATAAGGCGGGGAGCCCCGCATCCGAAGGACTCCGAGACAAGAGGACGTGTTGTAGAGTTTAGGGTTTAAGGCCTGGGGTTCAGGGTTTAGCCTTTTCGAGTTTGGGTTTAGGGTTTAGTGATTAGGGTCTGGGCTTCAGGGTTACTTCGAGTTTGGGTTTAGGGTTTAGTGATTAGGGCCTGGGCTTCAGGGTTACGGCTCAGGAAAGACAAAACCATGAATGTCAGAGGGAACACTGAAGCAGAAGGAACGAATTGTTCAACGCAGCACGCACACTGCCCACATCATGCAAGCAGGTGGCTGAAATCGGGGTCCACAAATGACCCTGCGTTTACCCTAAACCCTCACTGAACCAACCCGAAAACCCTGCAGCACTAGAGGAGTCCATACTCCCACCTTGCGATAGCCACCGCTCTAGCAGACTCGGCTCCACCCTAAGCGAGTCTTGGGTTTTGGGGCTTTGCATCAGGCTTTGGGGTTTGGGGCTTCAGGGTGTGGAAGATGAAATGCACTGCCGTTAAGGTGCATGCGTCTGCCCTACCCACGTGCTGCAGTTCCTAGCACTCGGGCAGAGGAGGTTTACGAATAGGGTTTGGCGAGTTTTTGGAATTCGGGGTTCTGGGATTTAAGTTTCGCGGGTTAAGGAGTTGATGTTTACGGCTTAAAGTTGTTTCGGCATTGGGGCTTTGGCTTCTTTGGCATTAGGGGATTCGGTGGTTGGGGTTCAGGGCATTTGGTGCTCTTTGGCGCGAGAGTCCACATTTTTTGAAAGTTCCCAATTCCTATCCCCACCCCACCCGCATTGTTAAGCTCGGGTTACGACTGCGAAATTCCGAGTTCAGGCTGTAGAGATTGGCCGTCGAAGTATGGCTTTATTTATTGTCGGGATTCAAGGCTCTAGGGTTCAAGACTTCACGGCTTTGGGGCTTGAGGCTATGGGTTTAGGGCTTCAGTATTACGCGCTCTTGGGGCTCTGTAGGGTTTGGGGCTACGCGGCTTTTCGGCTTTTGGGCTTCGGGCTCAGCCCGACACCCGAAATTCGTAAGCTTTGGGGAGCTCAAGCTTGACAGACGCTTGACAGCAGTCTCCATGTGGGCAGGCGTTGAGGGCAGGAGGCAGCCTGAAAAAGTGCTTCAAACACTCATCAAGATGCATTTGAGCTCCTAGAAATATCCCGCTGAGACAGCGAACCACGTCTCAACTGGTGCCAAGCATCTCCCGAGTGAAGGTGAGGAGTGTCTCTACCTGAGGGCTCCGGAGTTTCGGCTCTAGGAAAAATTTGGGGATCCCCCAAAAAACTAGGATTCAAGCTTTAGATTTAGAGGAGTTTAGAGGGGTTTAAAGGGGTTAGGGTTCAGGGGCCTAGGGTGCGGGTTTTCGGTAGAGTTTGAGGTACAGAAGATTCGGGTATAGGGATGTTGATCTGCTCAGGAAAGACCCTCCAACCCCCATGCGACCCCGGAACTCCCGGTATGGCCACTTCGAAGCTCTAGCGTCGAAGAGAAGGAAACTGGAAAGCCCATGAGCCGGTAGGCCCGTTTAGTACAGCAACTGAAAACCCAACAGCATGCCAAAACCCTGAACCCCCCCCCCCCAGCTGAAGGCCCGCTAGAGTCCTTGCGTGCCCGTATGAAGAAAAGAAACTTGAAGAGCTATTCATCAACAGCTGTTTCGATGGGGCCCTGAAGCCCCGAATCTTGACCCCTAAGCCCTCGACCCTCAGCCTCCTCAAAATCTTCCTGCCCCCCAGGACCGCAGAGGCGGCATGCGGCTTGAGGGTTCGGAGGTTTAGGATTTGGGGCTTTTGTGATCAGGGTATGGGGACTTGCAGAGGACTTGCTCGGCAGTAAGAGCTTAGTTCAGCTCTTCTTATTCTGCTTTTCGGGGTTACTGGTGTCTGCTGCTTAGGGTTTGAGATGCTTGGGATGCTTGGGGGATTACGGCCGTCGGGTTTAGGGTGCCAGGCCTCTGGAGAGCTTCAGTCTTTGAAGGGTTTTGGGATACCGATCTTTACCTGCAACCCATGAGGAACCATACACAAAAAACTAAGCAAGAAGACGTATACGACTACATAACCCATAATGCTGGCCCAGCTATATCGAATTTTGGGAGTCTGGATGGAGACTTCGAGTTTCGGGTATGACGAAGTGTAGGTTGTAAATCGATGCGTCAGAGTTTTCGGGCATTATAACGGGACGGTACCAATGTCGCGCAATACTCCTGAAAAGGGAAAGTCCTTCTGATAAGAGTTAGCGATGTGCAGAAAAAGTTCTGCCCAGTTGCTGGGATCTGCGTGCCCCGACCCTGGCCGTTGAACCAAACCTCTCACAGACCCGGCGATTGCACAGACAGGTCTCGGGGTTGAGGGTTTCAAGGTTTGGGAGGTTTGGGGTTTAGGGTTTGGTCTGCTTGATAGTCGCGCGTGTATTCGGTGCATGATGTGTGCATCATAGGATCTATCGTATGGCTTTGTGAAGGGTTTGAGCCATGGTTTTCTTCAATGGGGTCTCTCGTCCACACTAGGGTCCTGCGGTGAGATTAGGGGTTTGGAGGTGTAGAGGAGTTAAATGATGCCTTATGAACGGGGCCATGAGGGAGGGTGGAGGGGGCATGTCGGCACTTGCAATGTAAACCTGGCTTATGGTTCAAGGTGCAGAAGAAGATGGCCGGAGCCATTGAGGCTTCAACCCTGAAGCCCCACAGCGCTGAGCCCCGGGCCAAGCACCTGAACTCCACAGCTTTGATACTAGGACCCGATCTGACGACTTCTGAAAAGCCACAGCCTGAAACCGGACGACTTGCATTGAAGACATCCACATTTGGATATCAAGCAGGGCCTAGATGTGTTTCTTGTAATTAAACTCCCGGTCTACACTGCCATAGTTCCGGCGAAGGCTGCGTTCTAAGGACATTCAAAAGGTTGCATACCAGGACTCCACACGAAAGACCTTAGAGGCCTAAAGCTGGTATCGTTGGCCCGGCCCACACCCTAAAGCTACATTAGCGCTGCAAGGACACAGAACCGTCACCCCCACGCTGTAGATTAAGCTTTTATGGTCGGCCTTGTGTCTTCTTGCGACTTCCGTAGAAAAACCAATAAAGTATGTGGTGCGAAAGAGGACCTCTTTTCGTGGCACGCCTGCATGGTCCAATTCAGACGAGTACATCGGAGGTGTCAAACGGGATCGATGTAAAACACAAACCCTGGCACCCCGAGCGCGTCCACGAGCGTGGAAAGGAACTACTCGTTGAGAACCGTTGTGCGACATGCATATGCACAGGCTGGTGCTCTTCTCGTCTGTTTCCCCGAATTCTTCGTTAGGCAGCCTACATCAGTCTACATACCCAACAGACATGGAGCAACAGCCTGGGCAGCGCGTACCACGTATGAATTGCAAATTTACAGAACCTTCCAGAGAAGGGATGACAACAGGACCCACAGGCAGGGACCGGCGGCGAACCCAGATCCGATGCTTGTGTCAGCAGACGGGGGGCCCTGCCCCGTGACTGCCTGAGTTCTTGGAAAGACGCAAGAGTGCCAAAAGCAAGAGGAAAGCACAGGGTTGCTACAAAACCCCACAGAACCCTTGTGAAAGCCTTGAAGACCCCAGAGCAAGAGTCCAGAAAAAGCCACAAAGCGCCTTTTCAAAAGACCCTGCATGTTTAGAGAATCCCAAAAAAAAAAGCCCCAGCTGCCGGGTCGTAGAAGGCGATGTTGTCGGGTCCCGGAGCTGCCATCTCAAAGTCCAAGTAGAAGGACGTGTCGCTGATCTTCGTCACCTCGTTTAGGGAGCTCTGAGAAAGGTTTAGGGCCCTTTGACTTTTGGGGTTCACAAGATGTTCGATCATCTTCGCCAGCTCTGCTCCTAAAGGGGGCCTATGAAAAAACTCCCAAAGCTGACGTGCAGAGTAAAGAGAACTGAGGCGCGGTGGTGCAGAACCTGATTTGCACTCGCGTCCTATTGGCGCCCCCGGAGAGCCAGATCCACTGCAATTCGGTGCCAATACATTCGCCTCCTTTTGGCCCTGAAATCTCTGAAGCCCGCCAGTATTTGGTGGAAGCATTTCAGTGCTCTTGCATCCCGCTGTCCTGAATCCTCCCCGGTACATGAAGGGAAGCATAGTGTTGATCTCTCGCAATCCACCAATAGATGCTTTCCAGCATTTTGGCAGTGCTCTTAAATCCTGCCAGTACCTAAGCACTGTGCCCCTGCAAATTCTCGCCGTACATGGGGGAAATCACTTTGGACGTGGTGTCCTGGTGTCCTTGCGGTCTCTGGGTGGTTTGCTGTTGGTCTCCTAATGGTCGTTTCGTGGTCTCCTGGTTGTCGATGTGGTCTTGATCTGTCGGTGGTGGTGGTCGCGGTCGTCGTGGTCGTCGTCGTGTGCATCATGGTCATCAGGGTCGTCATGGTCGGCGCGGTGGTCTCTCACTGTTTGGGGATTGTGCTGGCACTTGGGACTACAATCGCTCGAAGATGAGAAACCCTAAACCCTGAAGCCTAAGACTCTAAGAGCCCGAAGCCCCAAAGATTGAAAACCCAGTGGACGAAGATCAGCAATCCTAAAGTCCCTAAAGTCCCTAAAGTCCCTAAAGTCCCTAGAGTCCCTAGAGTCCCGAAGGGCCCTGAGCCCTCAACAACCGCTTTTCTCAGCCCTTCTGAGAGCCCAGGGCCCCAAGAGCAGAAACCCGAAACCTATGGGCCCCGATACTGCTTCTACTAGACCGTTTTAGGGCTTCTCTCAACTTCTTAAGGGCTTGGGAGTTTAAGGTTTGGAGCTCCTAAAACCTCAGGAGCTTTGTGATCTAGGATTTTTCAGGTGCTGTAGAGAATTCATCGGGGCTCTATCGGGTGTTTGGAGGTGTCCTCAAAAGCTTCAACGTGATCTTATTTTGGGATTTGTAGGGCTCTTGTCAAGGAACTCATGTCATAATTACCAGAACTGGGGACCTGCGGTAAGGTAACAAATCTGCTTTCCCTGCTATGACAACTTCATCTACATTGCCCAACAAGACCCCAGTCACCGTCACAGTGGCACCGTTTGCATCTGACTTCTGGGAATCCTTGCGACCGGTGGTCACCACAGTCGGCAGCTCGATTTCGAGGTACATGCTGGAGTTCGAGCTATCCTCGAAGCGGATCTTCGAGACTGCTGTTGAACCGATGGTGTCGAGAGTCTTGTCCGAGTTGATGGTGATCGTGGAGAAGACGCCAACCTCGACCCTGTTCCGGAAAGTGAGAGTGGAGTTCGGCCAATCGAAACTTGGGTCCTGGTAAGCAATGAAGGTGTACCTGTGCTCTGGTATGGAAGTTCAAGTTCTCGCACCTAGTATATGTACCATCATCTACACCAAAGCAAAAGCACATTCAAGACTGGGGTACTTGTACATCCCGCTGGTGAGATTCTTCACGTCTGGGCACTTCTCTGCAAGCGTGTCGGCATTAAAGCCAGGGGTGTTGTTCACCATCCCCAGGCATCCGTCGTCATCAATCCTGGGATGAGAAAACGACCAGACGTAACTTCGACCATTCCCATCGCTCAATGCGGTTTTTTTGGAGGGCTCTGAGGGCCTTTCGGGCTTAGCCTTCCTGAGCAAAAGAAAAGGTTTATTAGGAACAGCTGACAGTCGCACCGTCGTTGGTGTAGGTGAACAGCGGCATGGACCTGGCGGCAGAGATCACCACGCGCTGCATTCCCCACTACCAGCACAGAGACTCAACCGTGCCAAAGTCCACCCCTGAGTCCTCAAGTAGGGTGCATGTGCCTTTTTGAGGGAGCCACGAGGGGTTGGTGAGCTAGACATTCTCACGCCCTAGTTCAACTCCCCGTCCACCAAAATCCCGCCAAAAAAAATGAATTCATATTATAACCTCATAATATG